GGGGGGGGGGACAACAGTGATGGAGAACAGAGTAATTAAGGTACTGTATATACAGTAGATAGGCTTGCATGTAGCTAATTTGAGTCGATGGTTATGGTGTATAAAATGTAAATGAATGGACACCAGTCAGGAGTAAAATARGTGTTTGTCAGTCAGGGACGTTCAGGTTCAGGTTGAGCTAAATGTTTGAGTGAAAACAGCTTCTTCTCAGTGTTTGGACCCGTCAGCCASTAACAGTCGGGTCCACRAGTCTCTGAAACTTTGAGTTTGTGAGTCAATAAGGTTTGTCAATCACTGATCTGAACATTTAACAACTTTTATTAATACTTTTTGTTTAATCACAACATTTCAGGTTCTGGTACATTCAGTTGCAGATATTCAGTTTATGTCACGCCTGTAATTATGGTTTTTGCGAATTAGGACACTCACCTTGACACAAATATTTGTTTCGTTTTGTTTGTTGCTTATTGGGTGTGTCTCATGAGTCACATCTGCAGAGAGGCATAAAAGCAGCATCCAGCTCCCAGAGACAGACACAGATCCTGTTCAGCAGCAGAAACACCATCAGCCTTCATCCTCCTCATCCTCATCCTCCTTCAGAAGGTAAAAGCAGTTGAATACTTTGATGATGTGAGTCTATGATGAGATATTTTATTTACCTGCTCAGGGATGAGGTAGCTCGGCGGTCAGTGTCGTGGTCTCATAATCCTGAGGTTGCAGGTTTGATTCCAGGTTGTGTCAGAAAAGACATCTGGTGTCAAACATTTGTCAAATCTTCAGTGTGAGTTTGCTGCAAGAACAAACAACAAGTATTTACCTGTTGTTCATTGGTTGCATTTGATCCAATCAGGTTTTTATTGACTTGCAGTTTTCTTGAGTTCAATTAGTGCATGTGGCCCCGCCTCCTTGTATGTTAAAGTTTGAAACAAAGCCCTCAGAGGACGTGTTGGGGAGGACTCTCAGCTCCTGTTTGAACCTGAGACAAAGACATGAAGACAAGTGATTTTCTGTCCTCTGTGTCCTCCAGCTTTCTGTCAGCTGATTGGTCACCTCCATCATGCTCCGCCCCCTGCTCCTCCTGTTTGCTGTGCTAGCAGTGCCAGGTAAGAAGAGTTTGTAAAGTGTTTCCAATCAGACTTGATGACAGGTGCTGATGGTAGAAAGAAGCTTTAAGTGCTGCTGATCTGTCAGACGTGAAGACATTTTGCTGCCATCTTTGTTTCTGAGCAGAGCTGCTAACTGATGCTGTCAGACGGAACAACAGGAGCTGTTTTATTCCTTCATCAAGTCAAAGTCATGTTCAAACTCTCCTCTCATGTCTCTCTGTCTCCTCAGGTGATGCTGGAACGTATTTTAGCACGTCCACAGAATTCGACATCAGCTCCTGTCCCATCACATATTTTGGAATAAAATATACCCACCTCTATGTGAGTCGATGGATCTTTTCTTTTCTTTTTTTAAATCTGTTATCACTGTTTAATGTCCTGATTAAAAATAAAAACACACTCATAATTTATTCAATTGGTTGACTTATGTTGGTTCATGTAGTTCAGAGACACATTTAGTTGTATTTAGTTATTTGAYGCCTATAAAAGAGGGTTATTGTGTGGAGAGGAGTGGGCGGGGCTACAGCCCCACATCCCAGCTACACAAAGTCTAAAACTCCAACAAAATCTGAAAACCGCTGCCTTTCATTGAAACAATGACAGGAAGCAGAGACACTGCCTCTTATTTATGTTGATGTCCTGATTGATTCAGTGAAGTYGCTTTGATTTTAAGACACTTTTTAAACAAACTTTATTGACTTTTTGTAAGTAATTTGTAATATTTGTTCTGTTTTTGACTCTTTCAGGTGAACCTGACAGCAGATCATATTGTGATGTGTTTTGATGGGTTTGCCACCAGTAAAGACTGTGTAATTGGACCTAAACCAGAACGAGATACATTTGAGGACATTGTTCAAAGCTCAATGGTGCTCAGTACTCTGATTCGTGCTTCTGTACCGACCGTTAAGACCACCCTGAAGTGCTACGTGACCTTTGCTCTGGGTAACAATGTAAGTGTTGATRTTTATTGTTTTATCTTTTAAAGAAGCTCATTAAAAACTGCCTGAGATCACATTTTCATGATTAACCCACCATWTTAATGGTTTTACAACAACTGTTGCAAGTTCAAACTAAACAYATGCCAGTTTTGTGACAAAACAGCTTTTTTTATTTTTGGAAATGCATGTCACAGGCACTTTAACTCTACACATAAGAACTGTTTAGTTTGTTCATATATATATTTCTACTTTTTAAAATGGTTACTATAGGAATATGTTACTAAGAAACATCAATAATTTTATCAATGATTTTTAAAATGACAAACATGCTGAAAGGTTGTTCATTTTGTGCAGTTTGCTGTTTATCTGGTGAACTACGGACCACAAGCAGTTGTGGGTTTAAATTCCATTACTGCAGGAACGACAGTAAGTATGCAGGGGAGGATCATTTATGAACATTTATACTTAGATAATAAAGGAAATCATATTCTATGTATGTAAATCTAGCTTCAATAATGTTTTATTTCTTTGTTTTCTGTTAATGTTTTAATGTCATATGTGATGTCAGTGGTCTCTGGTGGTAACAGTTTGTTGTTTTGTAGACGACTGATGCTCTGGTGACTGGGCTGAACGTACGTACACTGAGAGTTACAAACAACATGAATAATGGAGAATATTACAGCTTCAAAGACGTCAGCGGCTGCAGATACARAGGTTGGTGAATCTCTGAACAGTAATTTTCTGAAGCAGTAAAACTTTAATATTGTAATGTTTACAGAAGATACATTAACTAGTCAACTAATAGACTTTCATTCATTTCTCAGATGTTGCATATAACACTACTACAACTACGGTTCTCCCAAACTCYTGTGAGACTGTCGTCTGTAACGCCACTGCATTCCTCACTGTGACCCAAACCTGTGGACCCACTCAGACTTGTGTCGGCAACAACGTGTAAATATGTCCCCTTTATATTTAAACAGCTGTGATCAAACAGAGACTGAATGAGGATGGAGGAGGATTTTCCCTGATTCACTGGGACTGCAGCCTGTTTTATAGAAAGCTCTTATTGTGAAGGAGCAGCAGGAAGTGTTGGGTCGATGAGTAAACATTGAGGCTGATTTTAGTCCCATAAATGTTGCRGCTGATTTCCAGCTGAAGTCTTCAGATGAATCAGCAATAAAATCCTGACTGCTTCCTGCTGCTGCTTCAATGGAGCTCCACATGGTTCCACATCATGAAGCTGCAGACTCTGGGATCATGGAGGAATCCTCTAGATGGAACATCCATCAGGTCCACACGCTGGATTTCAGCAGCAGATCATCATGTTTCTGTCTGTCTCCATCAGGTGTCTCACCACCACCACTGCTCCACCAACAACCACCACTGCTCCACCTACTACCACCACTGCTCCACCCACTACCACCACTGCTCCACCTACTACCACCACTGCTCCACCCACAACCACCACTGCTCCACCAACAACCACCACTGCTCCACCTACTACCACCACTGCTCCACCCACTACCACCACTGCTCCACCTACTACCACCACTGCTCCACCTACTACCACCACTGCTCCACCCACCACCACCACTGCTCCACCCACCACCACCACTGCTCCACCCACC